TTGAGACCCCCACATTGTTTTAGAACTCCTTCACTACCAAATTGAAATGTGATAGCAAGAGTAGACCGAGGAAGAGCACTTAAATGTAGTTCATGATGGGTGATAGTTTGGAAGGGAGAAGTAAGGCTTTTGGCCGATGCTAGTGGCCATTGTTCGTAGAGGAGGTTCTTAGTCGCCCCCATAGAACCTTTGGTGGTTTAGATTGGAAGATGTAGAACCTCGTGTTGTGTTTGACACCACCCAAAAGGCATTTTTCCCATGTCCAAAACAATTGCGAGTCATTTGAACCCGTGTCTAAGACCTCCGGACAAGCTAGTGATGAAAACCATCCCGTGAACTCTAGCATTTAGAGTTTGCCGCCGTGGTGCTGAGACTATAGGGCCGAGTGTTGATTATTGTTCTCATCTTTTCCACCAAAATGTCCCGACCCCACTGGTCAAGAGAGTGAGTGATTCATTCTTTCTTTGTATGTCATATCATATCCCGGTGAGGACGTTTGTTGCCCTTTCATTTGTTCCTCGGACTTGAACATTATGCATGAACGCATGGTTAGTTGTGGTTGGTAAGTGATCTTGTTGAGACTTGCATTGATACATGAACAAGGGGAGACTTTTCGTTTCCCCGTTTTTGGTGGCCTTGAATGTCGTTTGTGGTGGATGTCAGTATTGCTTGCAACAGTCCTTGTGTGAAATGGTCTGCTTGGGGACAAGCAAACGTCTAAGTGTAAGGGAGTGATTCGGGCCTAATTGTACACATTTTATCCCCGTTTCCCTTGGGCGTTTGTGGCATTTGAGCTCCTAAAGGGTGGTTTTATGCTAGGTTTCTTGTGTTTCAGTGTGTTTCAGGATCTAACAGGTGAAACCAGCCCTAGAGTCGAAAGTTGGAAGAAAAGGAGCAAAGACCGGGCAAAGAGGGTGATTCAAGCCATGTTCACGACTTTCCATTCGAGTTCACAGTCACTAAGACCATGAACTGGAACCATAAACCATGAAGCGCGAAGCGTCCAGGGAGATTTCAGAGGTTACTGAGATCGTGAATGAAGTTGTTAGCCGTGAACCCAAGTGATTGAAGCGGTGCGTTTTGATGCAGCGCGCCGAGTTCACGGACGCGTTGAGGAGTTCACGGCCATGAACTGAAGCCGTGAACTGAGCCTGATCCAAGTATAAAATGTGAGCTGAAAGGAAGAGAGAGGGGAGGGTCCAAGTGTGAGAAAGTTTCTTCTTCTTCTTCTTCTTCTTCTTCAGATTTTAGAGAGAGAAAGAACGAACCAAAGAAGAAGGAAGGCTAGGGTTTGCTCCAAGTGTTGAATTGGGAAGAATCTCCCCAAGAGAAGATCAACACAAGGTCAAAGGAGAGTGGAGGCATCACCATGATGGTTTCTACTTCTTTCTCTTGTGCTCTTCCCCTTTATAGCATAGAGTAGTTTCCATTTTCACTTGGGTGTTGTGAAACCCTAACTATTTGCCATGTAGTTGTTGTGTAAATTGAATGATTGTTTGTGGGTGTTGTTTAATTTAATGATTGAGGTTTTTTTCATGATGATTGTGCATGTTTGTGCTTGGCAATCCAATTGGCCATTCTAACCTAGGTTAGAGGAAAAATCCCCCTTTCAAAAGCGGCTCAATTGAGTTGGGATTTTGTTGGCTTTTCAAGCCACCTACCTTGGTTAATGTAGGGCAAACCTCTATCTTGATTTAAACAACTAGGTTAATCGTAATTAATCCGTCCAACCATTGGTTTGGCAATTGAAAGTGTGGTCTTCGATCATAGTTGCACTTCCTAGCGGTTCGCGATTGGCTCGCCCATAACGGTCCATTAAATTGCATGTGCTATGATAGTAGTTAGGAGGAAGCGACACTAGAGTGACCCTTCTCATCTAGAGCTTTCAAACCATTTACCTTTGCTTTGTTTGAATTTAATCCTCATAGTTTTCAACCAAAAACTAATTCGCTAGATAATGTTTCAAACAATTTGAAGTGGGTGGGATTTTGTTGTGATATTCGGAACGAGTCAACGATAGGGATGGCAATGGGTCGGTTTGGATCGGGTTTTGCCAAACCCAAACCCATGGGTTTATCCGTGAAAAAACCTGGGGTAAAACGCACTGGGTTTGAAAAACTCAAACCCAACCCAACCCGCTGGGTACCCACGGGTTGTTGTCGTAAAAAATTTACAATAACAAGTTCCTATCAAAATTAAAGTCAAATATCAATCTCTCAATATAAATTATCCATATATAAAACACCATTATAGAAAATTCAAGCAAATCACAAAATAACTATACAAATTGTTCAACACCAATCTAGAAAAGTCAAGAAAATTCAAGCAAATCACAAATTATCAATAAATAACATGATTAATTGAAAGCTTTTTCTTCAATTAATTTTCTTCACTCTCTACTCGATAACATCAACTTCATTCTACACAATTTGAAAGAAAAAATTAGACATGTCTCCACAACCATAAATAAGATTAGTTGTTGAGAATATTAAATATACCGAGAAAATTAACTATATGGGTGTGGCGGGTACCCATGGGTCGGGTTTAACTAAACCCAACCTAACCCGGTGAATAGTGAACGGGTTTAAACCCAAACCCGGTCCAAAACCCGTCAACACGAATTTTACCCGCGTTGACCGCGTTGGATCAGGTGGGTACCCGTGGGTTCGGGTTTTGTTGCCATCCCTAGTCAGCGACCATCATTACCTTGATTCTATTCCCTATGTCTGCCATAGATAGACAAGAATGAGAAGAAGAGAAGAGGAATGGCAGTGTAGTTGCAGAGAAAGAGAAAGGAAGAGAAGATGGTTGACTGCATAGTTATAGAGAAAGAGAAAGGAAAGAGAAGAAGATAAGAGTGGTTTGTCTCTGGAGATAGAGGGTAATAATTGGAAGGAGGAGATAAAAATTGTATCAATTGAAATTACCTCCCCCACTCTCAGGTATTTTCAATTGAACCCTAATGGAACAATTGTCATTTTCCTGCCCCAGATTGTCTCATTTCAAATTTTTTTTTTAGCCAAATGAGTCAATTTGGCCCAATTCTCTCAATATGAGCCAATTAGGTACAATTGATCCATCACAATGTTCCATCCAAACGACCTTTGGAGTTCTTAATTGAAAATTTGTTTTATTTCGTCATTAGCTACGCTCCTCGAAAGTGGGAGGTAAAGTTGCATAATTAACAACAACTAAGAGGGGAAATTAATGGATTTGCCGTCATTATTTGCCAAGCCAACGGACATTTTTTTTTTTTGAAACAGATCAGGTCAGTAACTTTATGGTGAGTAACCATGAGTAACCCGTCCACATCAGAATGACATCAACATCCCTCTCTCTCCTGGAAAGCCTTTAATTTTCTCCTCCTTAATCTTTGACGGACGATTTCTCGCTCGTTTTCAGTCCAAATTTAATTTTTTTCGACAGTTAGATCAGATTAATTGTGCTCTTCAAAATGATATCCACTTTGACTAGTCTATACCATATGGTATTGACTAGTATTGAAATAAGAGCATATGGTATTGACTAGTATTGAAATAAGAGCATACCTATGATTTGAAAAATGTAACATGGTGGTATGAACAAACCAAGACTTTAGGATGGTTGAATACATGATAGTAGAAGTATATTAACTGTCATTTACGACTTTTAACATTGTGTACCACAAGATACCACCCCGTACCAGGGTGGTATTGTATGCTATTGTGTGGTATTTTTTGGTCATGTAATTTGTTCACCCAGAAATTTGTAAATCCAATAGGTCATGATGAACTCGTCCCTTCTGTGCAAACGTTTCAAAAACGAATTAAAAACGAAGAAGATACCATATGGTATGCAGTTGGTACCGAGAGGCAAGAATTTTTTTTTCTCAAAAAATATTGATAATTGATCTCATTTTGTAGAGCACGATGAACTCGTTCCAATTGTGCAAAAACAATTAAAATTCGAGTTAAAACGAAAAAGATATGAGTCGATTAAGAAAGTTAGGAAAAATAAAAATTACATTTAATTCTCCATCCTTAGATCTTGTTTTCTAAATGAAGGGTCCAGATTTGGTTATTGATGGGTGCATAACCCATGGTTATGCACCCTATCTTGAGCCAATTTTTTTAGCATAAATAGTTGCCTTTTAAACAATGATAGTTTATATTATTACTTTGTAATAATTTTTCTGAACTTAATGTTATAAGAACCGAACTGGATCAACAGTTGGGCCACTAGAATCTCCAAATCAGTTACGATAGCGTTACGTCCGGTTCATTAATTGGATGTTTATCGATGGACGAACGGTTTATCACAGTTTAACTTAAAATCAGATGAACCACCACGGTTTAACTAGTCAATTGGTTCAATATTTTAACCACAAATTGTTTTAAAATTATACTTTGATGTAAACTAAATTATACTAAACTAAGATCATCAAACCATAATTATTAATTTTATTTATTCTTCCTCTTCTTATTTTCCAAACTCGTTGTCGACTTTACATATGATCCACTAGCGACTGGCACCGTAATGTATAAGTTGAATTACATAAATTATAATATTTTTTTTTTGCGACGGTTTGGATTTTTTGTTAGATATTTTGGTGATGATATGAATTTAAAATTATTTATGATCAATGATAATCTCATTCTTAAATTAATATATTATTAAAGTTTTGTATGTTATATATTATGAACACTTCTATCAACGATTAACCAATAGTTTTGTAACGGTTAACCACTAAACCCTAAACTATTAATATTTTCAGTTCAACAACCGATCTGCTGGATGAACTTGTGCATTTTTAATTATTATTTAATAATTATTATATTTAATAAATTTGTAGAAAAAAACTATTAAGATCACATTTTAAATTTTCGAACAATACCTCCAAATATCATGGAACACCCCCTGCTAACCTTCGAAGATATGTTTTCTTTCCCTTACAAGTTACATCCCATTATTATTAACTTTTTCATCGAATACAAACTTGAGTAGTCCGCCGGAGTTTCCTATTACACGGGATTCACAGCCGTACCCGTTCCAGCCGACACCTCCTCTTCATTCTCGCCGGTCAAGTCCTCTAGCGACTGCCCCTTCGACTCCGGCACCAACAGCGTAAAAACCATCCCCAAGAAATTAATACACCCCAACACAATCAGCGAGTTCCTCACCCCAATCCCAGTACTATACCCTTTATCCACCTTCGCCGGATCCTTCGACTGCGCCGCATACAAAAACCCAAACGCCCCCACAATCGCCCCAGCCTTCCCCGCCGCCGCCGATATCCCATGACACGTCGACCTCAGCCTCGCAGGGAAAATCTCCGCGGGGACCACAAACGTCGTCGCATTGGGCCCGAAGTTCGCGAAGAAGAACGTCAGCGCGTACATCACCACGAACCAAATATGGTTCCCCTTCAGCGTCCAGTGGTGGTACGGAATCGCCAGCGCGAACATGAACACCGTCATGAAGAAGAATCCCATCATCTGGATCTTGAACCTCCCCATCCTGTCGATGAACGCCACGGTGAACCAGTACCCCGGCACCGTGCTCAGGAGCGCAATCAGCGTCTGCGCCCTCGCGATCCTGTACACCTCGTGGATCGCGTTCATCGTCGCCGCCGGCGGGATCCAGTTGATGGCGGTGAAGATGTCCTTCTGGAACAGGTTCTGGCTGTAGAACGCGATGTCGAGGAGGAACCACGTGGACGTGGTCCCCAGGAGGTGGAGCCCGTGTCGCGCCAGGAACTGGCGCGAAAACAGTCCGAATTTGTTGGCGGAATCCTCCGTGATCGCGTTGACTTTTTCCTGCTCGGCTTCTAAGTCAACGTTGAGCACCTTCGACATGTCGTGGGCCGCCTGTTTCGCGTTCTTCGCGACCAGCGCGGTGTAGCGGGCGGTCTCCGGCATCTTCATGCGGGAGTAGTAAGTCAAACCGGCGGGGACGGCGCCGAACATGAGGATGATCCGCCACACGTAGTCGGCCTGTGGGGGAAGTGAGGCGGCCCTGTCGGCGGCGTACGTAGGGGCCTTGAACGCGTGGTCGAACGCGCTGGAGACGGCGAGTGCGACGATTCCTCCCGCCAGGATGCCGAACCCTTGCATGGCGAATACCGCGGCGATGAACGCGCCGCGTGTTTTTTTATTGGCGTACTCGGACATTATCGTGGCGGAGAGAGGGTAGTCGCCGCCGATGCCGAACCCTAGCCAGAAGCGGAAGAAGCAGAGCGTGGAGATTACGCTGGTGGCGCTCTTGCCGAAGGAGAGGCCCGAGGCGACGGAGCAGATGACCATGACGGCGAGGGTCATGCCGTAGACTTTTTTACGGCCGAGCTTGTCGCCGAGCCAGCCGAAGAAGAGCTGGCCGGCAAGGGTGCCGCAGAGGGCGACGCCGTTGACGGCGGCGGCGACGTTGGGAGGGAGGGAGCCGGGCTTGGGGGAGGTGATGTCGGTGTAGTAGATGCGGCCGAGGAGCTTGGTGACGAGGGAGATGCAGAAGAGGTCGTAGGCGTCGGTGAAGAAACCCATGCCGGCGATGACGATGGCGGTGAAATGGTACCATTGGGTTTTGGCGGCGTCGAGCGCGGTGAGCACTCCCAGCTGCTCTCTCGCCATTGGACTACCAGTCGGATTCTTTGGGCCCCACTAGGCTTCTGCAAAAATAACAACAACCAACAATGAGGAAGTGCTAAAATTAGTACGTGTGCATGAAAAGATGTTATATGACTCGTTACTCAAATGGGTTGTATATATAGAGGGTTGTACAACAGTTGTATAGAGTTTCAAACGAACAAGAAACGCGAGAAAGCAAATCCTAAATTATACAAAATACACTAACAACACTAAAGAGACACTCCATGAACTTAATTAACAATTCATGAAAGCAAATTACACAAAAAATATGATTAAGCACATCACAAATCTCATGATCCATAGCATAAAAAAATGAGATAGTAAACCACGCCATAAACACGAGAAAACAAACAACAAATATCATTAAAAAAAAATACGAATCTTGTGAAGTACACCGCAAATTATAAACAAATCTAAAATGTATTATGGAAAAGTTATATTTTCATACCTATATTATTTTTCTACATGTCATAATACCAAAATATTTATAATGTTTTTAAAATAATATTGTCAGTTTGATATTAATTTGAACGAATTTTGCGATACCGCATCTAAACATGAATTTTATAGTTAAAAAATAATATAATAAAGACTTACCTAGATTTTAGAATTCATCAATATTTGTTTGAAGAGATCCAAATATATTATATAATGAATACATATTGTAATTGCTTATAGAAAATAAATTGTATTACTTATAAATTTTTTGTTTTTATTAATTTTATTTGTGATCCTATGCATATATATTTTCAATATATGTTTAATTAGTAAAAGGATAGGCTTTCCCCATTAAGCATATATAACAAAGTCAACGTCGCTTTCTTCAAAGTGTATAGGACTATAGGTGGAAGGGATAGTAACAAGGTAATATGAGAAGACATTATTTAACTTATAGCAAGGAACCAGGTACGTAAACTGTAAGGGACGTTGGAGTCTAGGCAGCTAGAAACAAGTCGTAACCTAAGTTGCTTGACTCACGAGTAAAAATCAAAATCAAAGGTGTGGATACAAACGTGAAAATTACAACAAAAGGAACAGCCCCAATTACGCGTTTCTTACGCCAGCTACGTACTACTAGCTTAACATTTAACTAATCTCCATCAACTTTTTCATATAAAGGACCCGTAAACCAATGAAGATATGGTGAACATTTATCGATACAAGCAAATTCAAGGCAAATTTTTTTTTTTTATAATGGCGACAGTTTTATTAAAACAAGAAACTGGAAATGTAACATGGATCAAGAGACATGATCCTGGGAAGCAAATACAAATGAGGAAAGAAAAAAACCAGAGACAACAACAGAAGCCAGACCAAACAATTACACTAAGTACTGGACCAAAAGTCTAAAACCACCCCTGTGTGATCAAGAGACGTGATCACGGCAATTAATTACTGAAGGTCAAATGGTTAGTAAATGACGGTTAAACGGTTGACCGACTAAATGATTACGAGCATCATCATAGTTAGAACTGAAAATAATATGCATTGATTCGTCGCAAACTTGCAGGCATAGGAAAAAAATAATTGGATGTTTGAAGCCCTACAAGTTCCCTTGTCTATCCTAGTTGTAATAATGACTTAGGTTCAGATGAAAATAATTTCAAGAAAGGGTCTAGAAAGACTGAAGGAGCATAGTAAAAGTTGGACTAGCACATGGTATCTCGAAAAAAATCAGTAACATTTAACCTTTCGTGTAATTTGGTGAGATTTATGAGTTGAGTAATTATTGTCGAGTATCTTATTCTATGATTTTTTAATCAAATATTCGAATTTGACATTAGAATGGTGCTACTGTGTACTTATTTTAGATAGAGTTGATCATTGATTGATATCTAAGTTAAATAATTTTTTACTCAATGATAACAACTTAAAAAAGGAACACATACCTATGTAGGAAAAAAAACCTTTAAAAAAATGCACAGTTGGAAAAAAATAGGCCTTCTGTTGATTAGGTTACGGATATCTGGTTAATCGACAAAATAACGAGAGAACCGACTATACAATTACAGTTAACCGATTAATATAAGCGGTGCGATTAATGGTAAGCAGAAAGTGCCTGACGGTTAACCGATAATCGCCTAAACGGTTCCGGTGATAACCCCACTGAACCAAATCGATTGCCAACCCTATATGCATATGCATGGATGAATACCGCCAAATGAGCCAAACCGCACTAAAAAAGCCGATTATAGCAGCTGAGCTTAATTCCACTTAGCAAGAACAGCAGTGTATATATTGACTATTGAAGGAGAGAGATAAGACGAGAGAGTTGATGATCGCTAACCTTCTGAGGAAAACGAGTCCAGAGATCAGAGAAAGGGGATGACCGAAACGCGGCGGAGAGAGAGAGAAATGGTGACTAGTTATCGTGCTGGTGGATGAGAGACCGTCGGAGCAGCAGGCGGGTGATTTTATAGAGGAACTCTGTCATGTCATGTTGTGGATTTCATAATTAATTATGCAATAAGTCGAGGGATTTATTGGGCATCTAATTGGGATATCCTCTCAAGTAGCATATAGCTTTGTCAACTCTTTTAATTCTGTTGAGGGAGTCGATCGATCTTCTGCAATATTCACATTTCTTAAATCGAAAACCAGAGAAGAGAACAGCCAAATTACAGGTAATCATTGATTTAATTTTTCTGGTTTGCTTTCCGATTTGTATGATTGACTTGCATGAAAAATATATCATTTTAAGTTTCTTCGATGATGAGTTGATGCCTTATATTGTCCAGGTTTGTTGCACCTTATGTGAATGCTAATTTGGCTTATGGTGGAAGTGTTTTTGTATTCTGCTTCAACCAATGGTTTACCTTGAGATGTCTTAATGCTAATGGGAGAGTAGTACCCAGTAAAATTTCCCTTTTTGTTTGGATAATATTCTATTTTGATTGTACGTACTCTCTTTATCATAGAAAATGACGATGTACGTGATCGTGAACATATTTACACGAACGTTTAAACTTTTGCCCAAAAATTATCAACATTAATGTTATAAACACGCTGCTACGGATCGGGAAATCGCCGGAATCGACAAAGCAAGAATACGAAAGCGAGAATCGAAAAACACAGACACACGATTTACGTGGTTCACTAACACGATGTGTGTTAGCTACATCCACGGGCAAGAGAGAGCCAGTTTCACTATATCGAGGAGATTACAGATTACAGAGGAGTATGAGAAGTATTTATAGTACTTCTCCAGCGAGACCCCCGATTACCAGTCGTAGCGGCTGATAGTCCGATTCAAGTCACATCAACAAATCTCCACCTTGACTTGAATCCTCTTCCTCTGAAATCTCTGATGTACTCTGCTCCTTCTATCTCTCTCCTGCCATCAATGCCCCGTAGGACAGAGTCACCCACTCAAGACATTCAGCAAGTCCAAGCAGTGTTGGAACTTGCCATGTGGAACCGGCTTCGTGAACATATCAGCAGGATTATCCGCGGTGCCAACCTTCTTCACCTTAATCCTCTTCTCTGTCCTCAAGAAAATGATACCTCACGTCGATGTGCTTAGTCCTCTCATGATGGACTTGATCCTTGGGCAAGCATATTGCACTCAAACTGTCGCAATACACCACTGCCTGATCATGATGTAGACCCAAATCACCAACCAGTCCCTTCAACCATATTCCCTCCTTAGCAGCTTCTGTCAACGCCATATACTCTGCCTCAGTAGTAGACAATGTCACCGCCGACTGCAGAGTTGCCTTCCAGCTCACTACAGAACTCCCAAGAGTGAATACATAACCGGTCATCGATCTCCTTGTGTCAACATCTCCAGCATAGTCCGAGTCAGAATACCCAGACACCAAGCACTCTGTATCAATTCTGAAGCTAATCCTCACATCAGGTGTACCCTTAAGGTACCGGAAGATCCTCTTCACAGCGTGTCAATGCTCCTTTTCAGGTTGTATCATGAACCTGCTGACAACACTAACAACATGTGCAAGATCAGGTCTAGTGCATACTATAGCGTACATCAAGCTACCTACTACACTAGCATATGGGACTCTCGACATGTACTCCTTCTCAGCCTCTGACTGCGGTGCATAAGCTGAGGATAGATGAACATTTGAAACAATAGGAGTATTTAACCCGATGCCTCACCACCTATACCAGATCCGGACGCCTTATGTCTGATCTCTCTCGTATGAAGAGCAGACCTGACATCCTCCAACGACACGCTTTCTTTACCGGCAATAAAAGAATCAACGAAATTCTCATATGAACTCGGCAAAGAAACCAGCAGGATTAGGGCAGCATCCTCGTCATCAACTTGAACATCTATATTACGCAGATCCAGCAAAATAGAGTTAAGTTGTTCGAGATGTTCCCTCAAAGGCGTACCTTCTTGCATCCTCAAGCTGAACAACCATTGCTTGAGATGCAGCTTCTTGGTTAGAGACTTCGTCATATACAGACTCTCCAGTTTCAACCACAAGCCCGCGGCAGTCTTCTCAGCAGCGACTTCAATGATGACGTCATCAGACAACGATAGCATGATGGTCGAGTGGGCCTTCTCCTCCAGGGTATTCCACTCATCGTCATCGACCGCTGCCTTCTTCTGTTTCGCAAACACGGCCCCCACAGCCCTTGCTGTTTTAATAAAGCCTGCATCTTGATCTGCCATATAGCGAAGCTGTTCTTCCCCGTGAACTTTTCGATCTTCATGTTCACCGACGTCATTCTTCTGAATCGAAAAAAACCCTAGCCTGATTTCCATTTGCGGCTCTGATACCACTTGTTATAAACGCGCTGCTACGAATCGGGAAATCGCCGGAATCGACAAAGCAAGAATACGAAAGCGAGAATCGAAAAACACAGACACACGATTTACATGGTTCACTAACACGATGTGTGTTAGCTACGTCCACGGGCGAGAGAGAGCCAGTTTCACTATATCGAGGAGATTACAGAGGAGTATGAGAAGTATTTATAGTACTTCTCCAGCGAGACCCCCGATTACCAGTCGT